TTATCTAAAATCAGTCACTATGATTTTGAAATGCCCGGTGTTCGATGGTTCGACAGCTATTTATCTAATCGGACACAGATAGTAAAAATCAACGGGAACGACGGCACTCAGCTGTGCTCGTCTCCATGCCCTGTAACCAGGGGTGCCTCGAGGATCTATACTTGGTCCACTTATTTTTATTTTATACACAGCAAGCGTATGTCGCCATATAAAGCAGTTCGAGTTCCACCTATACGCCGACGGCATAAGAATTATTATTTTTTTATAGAAGAGGGGGGCATTCGAGCATACGGTTCACCTGATGTTAAGTGACTACCGCCACCCATGACCAACCGCAACACCAGGGGAATTGCAGGTTTGCAGGAGTAAGCTCTTTTCTTGAAGGTCACTAGGTCGTATCGGTCCGGAAAAATCACCAGTGGTAAACTATTCCACAGAGGTAGTACGCGGAGGAAAACTCCTAGTGAAACGTACAGTGGTGGACCGCCAAGCATCCACATGGTGTGGATGGTATCGGGAGTTTTGCCGCGTAGTGCGTTTATGAAATTTGGAGGCTGGGATTAATCTAAACAATTCTTCAGAGCACTCCCCGTGATATATGCGAAAGAAAATGCAAAGAGATGCAACATCTCTTCGCAGCGCTAGTGAATCGAACCGATCGGAAAGCACTCGGTCGTCGACAATTCTAGCTGCTCTGCGCTGGATGCAATCAAATGAAAGGAGCTGGCACTGGGGAGCCTCAGCCCAGAGATGGGAACAGTATTCCATGTGCGGCCGAACCTACACCGTAAAGTTGCAGGCGGCGTGCCGGCATGTAATACTGTCCCACTCTGCTGAGCACGCCAAGCTTTTTAGAGGCCAATTTGGCCTTCTCTTCCAAGTGACCACGAAACTGCAAGTCACTCGATATGTCGACGCCGAGGATTCCGATACTGGCTGAGACAACGAGGGGAGTGCCTTGAAACCGAGTAGATACGACAAAGGGGTTCTTGTTAGCGGTAAACGCGAAAACGTGGGTCTTCTGAGGGTTAAACTGGACCACATTTAGTCGCCCGAATCCGAGGCTTTGTACAGCAAGGACTCGACTTCAGACACAAGTTTTTCCTGGTACTTGGAGACGTTTTCCCAAGAAATATCTCATCTGCATAGTAATGAATGTTGCCGGTTTGCAAAATATCATTGATATGCAGAAGAAACAGCGTTGATGATAGCACGCAGCCTTGTGAAACACCAGCATTAATAGGCTTATAATCGGAGCAAGAGCCGTGGTAGCTCAGATGGTTAACGCTCGCTGTAAATATAACATAACGCGAGTAACCCGGGTTCGAACCCCGCCGGCACCAATGGAATTGTTAATTGCAATTTTAAGTGCTGATTTACCACGTGCTCGGCGGTGAAGGAAAACATCGTGAGGAAACCTGCATGTCTGAGGAATAAGAAAAAAAAATATTTCGAAAACATGTGAAGTTCGCCAACACGCATTGGGGCAGCGCGGCGGACACTTCCTTGCCCTAAAACCCTCTCAGAAATGAGGGGAGGCCTGTGCCCAGCAGTGGGACGTATATAGGCTGTAACTTTAACCTAACTTTTAATCGGCGCTTGCACCATCTAAAACGAACCACCTTGATGCTCCGATCTGCAAGAAAGCTGATGATCCAATTGCACAATTTCTTGGGAAACCCATAGAAAAGGAGCTTCGAAAGAAGCGCTTTCTTAGACTCTATTGCCTCCGCCTATCTATGAGTCAGGTAGACCAGAAGATCACCAGCTGATCGATCACGACGAAAACCGTATTGGCGATCACTAATCAGCTGGTGATCCTCAAGGTACCTCATGAGCTGGCAGTTTACAATGGACTCCATTGTTTTGGAGGACAATGAGGTGATGGCGATAGGCCTGTAGTTGGTCGGGTCTGAGCGGTCCCCTTTTTCGGTGTACGAAAGCGGTCTTCCATGATTTTGGAACTACGCCTAGGGAGTAGGAGGACCGGAAAAGACGCTTTAAGACCGGTGCCAACTCTGGAGCACACGTCCTCAGCGTCCGGTGGTAAGGTCTTATCATAACTAACAAAACGAACCCAAACTCGGCACACTTAGTTCTACTAGTCTAGGAATTCCAGTTGTAATCACCGAATTACATCTTCAGGTCACTCCATCAAGTCCGAGGGTAAGGTCTCATCATAACTAACAAAACGAGCCCAAACTTGGCACACCTAGTTCTACTAGTCTAGGAGTTCCACTAGTAATCACCCAATTAAACCCTCAGGTCACTCCATCAAGTCCGGAGGTAAGGACTCGTCATAACTAACAAAACGGAGCCCAAATTCGGCACACCTAGTTCTACTCGTCCAGGAATTCCAGCAGTAGTTACCGAAATACACCTTCAGGTCACTCCATCAAGTCCGGTGGTAAGGTCTTATCATAACTAACAAAACGAACCCAAACTCGGCACACCCAGTTCTACTAGTCTAGGAGTTCCAGTTGTAATCACCGAATTAAACCTTCATGTCACTCCATCAAGTCCGAAGGTAAGGACTCGTCATAACTAACAAAACGGAGCCCAAATTCGGCACACCTAGTTCTACTCGTCCAGGAATTCCAGCAGTAGTTACCGAAATACACCTTCAGGTCACTCCATCAAGTCCGGTGGTAAGGTCTTATCATAACTAACAAAACGAACCCAAACTTGACACACCTAGTTCTACTAGTCTAGGAGTTCCAGTTGTAATCACCGAATTACACCTTCAGGTCACTCCATCAAGTCCGAAGGTAAGGACTCGTCATAACTAACAAAACGGAGCCCAAATTCGGCACACCTAGTTCTACTCGTCCAGGAATTCCAGCAGTAGTTACCGAAATGCACCTTCAGGTCACTCCATCAAGTGGTAGGTCTTATCTACTCCAACCCAAACTCGAGTGCTAAATCTTCAGGTCAAGTCCGGAGGTAGGTAAGGTCTTATTATAACTGACAAAACCGTCCAAGTCCACAACTAACATCTCATTACCAGTAGAGGGCTTCCAGTGCCAAGCAGTCTCTGGAGCAGGTATTCGTGTTTCGTATCTAAGTATATTTCTGAGGAAATGAAAAACAAATTCGATCTTTCAAATTATCTAAATAATTTCATTTGACTACGATTCCCGCAGACAAATGTGCGTACACTTGTGTGTGTGACTAGTGTCAATGTAGTAGTTCGATTCTATACCTATCAATTTTGTAAACGCGTCCTTAATATTCCTCGATATCATCATATACATCCGTATCTTAGTAAGTCGGACATGTCATTGAGGAGAGATTTACATTTAGCTACGTTTCTGTTCGAATGCATAAAATCGAAAAGACCGGATACCTCTTTCAGAAATTAAAATGGAGAAGAGCAGATGATGGTCGAAGCATCAGAACGGTAACCCCAATTCTGGCAATCCCATATCAGCGAACAGCCGCGTTTGGTAGCAGTTTTAGTTTACTTTTTAGTTACGGGAAACTAAATCTATAAACGGTTTTAAAGCTCAATTAAAAAAAAACACCTTTTAGCACTTCAAAAATCATTATTTCACGTGTAGTGGCAGGTTATTTCATAAATATGTTTTAACAAATATATGTGGATAAGAAATGTGTATATAATATATTATTAATATAATGTAATAAATTATAAGTGTGAGTGTGTATATGCACGTGTACGTATGTGTATTTTTTGACTTTTATGTATATACTTAAAATGTATACTGTGTGAACGGTTGATTCATTATTTTTAAATCGAAAGTTAACATCACTAACACCGCGGGCATATGCTGGGGCGGAATCCTTTTTGACATCATATCACTCACAACAGCATAGTTAATTTATTTTTATTTATGTTTTCCATCTTGTATACCTGAGTATTTTTATGTTCTTATTTTCAATGTATTCCTTCTAAATGTATATTTTGTGAGTGTATTGATGGTAAAACTTGTGTCTATATCTAAATGTGTATTATGGCCCCTCATGAGTCGTGTAAATCAATATTTAGAGATTTGAAAGTGCTAACACTTCCTTGCGTATACATTCTTGAAACAGCAAAAATAACCCCGAGCTGTTTATAACTGCTGGAGATATTATCAAATCCAAACCTTTGAGTCATCCAGATAAATTAGTCATTGATAAAATACCAAAAACAGTTAATTATCATAAGAATTGCTATGCAATGTGTATAAAAGTGTTTAATGCTATACCCGATAACATAAAACTACAACCAAGGAAGAGTTTCGGGAACGAGTTGAAAAAGTAGGGCTATTTAATAAATCTTTTTATTCGGTTAGTGAGTTGTTGGAAAAACAATATCTTAAAATTTTGGACTATATATATATAATAATATTTTAATACTTAATATATAATGTGACATGAAAATATAAATATTAATAATGTGATAGTGCAATTAATAGTAAATGTTTTTGTTTTTATTATGTCGCTTTCTAGTTTATTTTTATGTTTTTTGTTTGTTAATTATTATCAATGCTTTTTTTGTAATTTTAATCTACATATATTGTAGTCAATAATACTTAATGTTTTTAAATTTCTATCATTTTGTACACCAGAAATGGTTAATGTGTTTTACTATATTTTTTATAATAATTGTAAAACACACACATTATGCAAAATAATCAAATAAATAAAATTGTAAATAAGGTAATAAAGGCAGAATTGTGGCAGTTTTCGGACTTGTGAATGAATAAAAAATGAAATCGAATAGTTTCAATGTTATATTAGCAGTAACAAAGCTGTATGGAGAATACTTAGTTCCGACATTCCTAATACATGTACAACATCCATGTACTAATAAGCATAAGCGGGGACCAACAACCAATACTTCACCTTTTACGTTTAGATAATTGTTTATGTGTTTTTTTCTCCAAATGAGTGATGTGTTTGTAGTATTCAATTGAGTCGTCTACGCTGTAGTATCCAAATGATTGCAGCTGTAGATAAGCAGAATAGTTTTGATGCAGTTAGGGAGTTTGAAAGTACTATGTGTTAACTCTGTCCAAGTGTGTACATCTATGCCTTTTCAATCCACTGCTTTGACTAAATTGACTGTTACAGAGATCACAAGAGAATGGCCTTTCACCAGTATGAATCCTCATATGCAGTTTTAAATTACCACTTATAGAAAATTGTTTATTACATACACTGCAGTTGTAAGGCCTCTCATCAGAATGTACACGCATGTGCTTAGATAGATTACCAATTTGCTTATTACATATCTTGCATGTGTATGGTTTAATTCCAGTGTGCACTCTCATATGACGTTTTAATTGACCGGTCTCTCTAAATGATCTCTTACAAACTTCGCAGCTATAAGGCTTCTCTCCAGTATGAACTCTCATGTGTATCTTTAAATAACCATTATCTGAAAATGGTTTTTTACAAACTTTGCAAGAGTATGGTCGTTCACCAGTATGGGTGCGTTCATGTAGCTTAAAACTGGCCATTTGAGCAAACTGTCTGTCGCAAAAACTACAAGTGTAGGGCTTGCGACCAGTGTGGACCCTCATGTGTACTTTTAAAGTTGTATAAGCGGTAAAATCTTTTTTACACACTTCACATGTATGTGGACGTTCACCAGTATGCTGCCGGGTGTGAATTGCCAAGTAACTTTTGCTGGAAAACTGCTTGTTGCATTCTTTACATGAGTAAGGTTTAACCCCAGTGTGAATAATGAAGATATGCCTCTTTAAATGTGTGCGTTGGGCAAATCGACGTCCGCACACATCACAAACATATGGTTTCTCCCCAGTGTGGGTTAGTATATGAGATTTTAAAGTTTGATTGTGACCAAAAGATTTGTGACATATCTGACAAGTGAAATTTTTCTCCTTCGTATGTGTCTTCATATGTTCTTTCAAACCTTTTTTGCGTTGAAACTGTTTGTCACAGTAACTGCACTTAAATTTGTCCATATCATAGTGACTTGATAAATGGTTCTTCAAAAGGCGGGCCTTGTCAAATGATTTGGCACACATATTACATGGGTAAACACCACCTTCAGAATGACTTGTAGATATATGCTTTGTTAGATCCTTATTTTGCAAAAATTTGTTATTACATATAAGACATTGATAATTTTTCTCCCCATTGTGTGTCAATAAGTGTACTTCCAAGGAGCCATAATATGTAAATTTTTTACAGCAAACATTGCAGGTGTATTTTTTTACTTTTGTCTGACTATTGGACTTAGTTATCTCATCTGTAATAATTTGATTTTAATTAGGAATTTTACGTTTAGAAATATATTGTGAATAAACTTATCACTGCATAATATCAAACATTTATACATTATATATGTCGTCGTACCATCGATAATGGCAGCTGCAGCAGCCCAATCTGCATCTGGTTCTGATTCTTGATCTAACGTTTCTTGTTTATGAACCTTGCTCTTAAGAACTGACAAAGGTTGATCATCAAAAGTATCTTCAATAGAGTTTTCGAAGACTTCCACACCAAGCTTATTATCTGTTACATAAAAATATTCAGTATAAAATAAGAACAAGTCTAGATTAATAGATTAAATCATAATAATTAAAAACATAAAATATACCATAATTTCGGGCATCATGTTTAATAGTGATAAATAATTTTTATATAATTATCATCATCATTACAGCAAATCTTATGCACTATTAGACGCAGGCTTTCACTATACATAGCCACAAAACATGGTCCTCAGCCAACCCATACTTCTTCACTCCCTCCATGTTTTAACAGGTGATGTTAATAGTTATTAAAAAAATAACAATAATAGTAGTTGAAGGAGTATATAAATATTATATATATATATATATACATCATTACAACCCTTCACAAGTCCACTGCTGAACATAGGCCTCCCCCGCAAAGCACGGTCCTGCATCCACCGACTTCCTGCATGTCTTACCAGGTCGTCACTCCATCTAGTGGAGGGTCGCCGTGGCCTACCGATACGAGGCTGCCACTCGAGAACCTTTTTTCCCCAACGGTTGTCGGTTCTTCGAGCTATATGGCTGGCCCATTGCCACTTCAGCTTACTAATCCGTTGGGCTATGTCGGTCACTCTGGTTCTACTGCGGATATCCTCATTTCTAAGATTATCACCCAGAGAAACTCCGAGCATAGCCCTCTCCATAGCTCTTTGAGCGTCCTCATACGGGCAGCAGTGAAGGACCATGTCTCGGTTCCGTAGGTCATCACTGGCAACACGCACTGGTTGTACAACTTACTTTTCAGTTTTGAGGTATGCCTGACGAGAAGATGTGTCGTAATCTCCCTAACGCTGCCCAGCCGAGTTGAATCCGTCGATTGACCTCTCGGTCGAAGTTGGACTTACCTAGTAGGACTATTTGTCCCAGGTAAACGTACTCGTCAACAACTTCGAGCTTAGTGCTCCCAACAACTACCGGTATGACATGGACATTAAATATGATCTTTGTTTTGTCCATGTTCATCTTAAGACCTATCCGTTGGGAGACACCATTGAGGTCATTGAGCATAGTGCTAAGGTCCTCCAGCGATTCTGCCATAAGGACTGTATCGTCAGCAAATCGAAGGTTTTTTTTTATAGAAGAGGGGGCAAACGAGCATGTGGCTCACCTGATGTTAAGTGACTACCGCCGCCCATGATCAACCGCAACACCAGGGGAATTGCACGTGCGTTGCCGGCCCTTTAGAAAGGAGTAAGCTCTTTTCTTGAAGGTCCCCAGGTCGTATCGGTCCGGAAAAATCACCGGTGGTAAATTATTCCACAGAGAGGTTGTACGCGGAAGAAAACTCCTTTTGAAACGTACAGTGGTGGATCGCCAAGCATCCAGATGGTGTGGATGGTATCGGGACGTTTGCCGTGTAGTGCGTTCACGAAATTTGGCGGCTGGGATTAATCCGAACAATTCCTCAGAGCACTCCCCGTGACAGATACGATAAAATACGCAAAGAGATGCAACATCTCTTCGCAGCGCCAGTGAATCGAGCCGATCGGAAAGCACTCGGTCGTCGACGATTCGAGCCGCTCTGCGCTGGATGCGGTCAAGTGGAAGGAGCTGGTACTGGGGAGCCCCAGCCCAGAGATGGGAACAGTATTCCATGAGCGGCCGAACCTGCGCCTTGTAAAGTTGCAGGCGGTGTGCCGGCAAGAAATACTGTCCCGCTCTGCTGAGCACGCCAAGCTTTTTAGAGGCCAATTTGGCCTTCCCTTCCAAGTGACCACGAAACTGCACGTCACTCGATATGTCGACGCCGAGGATTCCGATACTGGCTGAGGCAACAAGGGGAGTGCCTTGAAACTGAGGGGATACGACAAAGGGGTTCTTTTTAGCGGTTAACGCGCAAACTTGTGTCTTCTGGGGGTTAAACTGGACTAGATTTAGTCGCCCCCAATCCGAGACTCTGTCCAGCAGAGACTCGACTTCATACACAAGTTTGTCCCGGCACTCGGAGACGTTTTCCCGAGAAATATTGGCTCGGCCGGTGGCCGAAGAGCATCACCAGTGCTGTCATCTGCATAGCAATGAATGTTACGGGTTTGCAACATGTCATTGATATGCAGAAGAAACAGCGTTGGCGATAGCACGCAGCCCTGTGGAACACCAGCATTAATAAGCTTGCAATCGGAGCTTGCACCGTTCTACAACGACCTTGATGCTCCGATCTGCAAGAAAACTGGTGATCCAATCGTACAATTTCTCGGGAAGCCCATAGGAAGGGAGCTTCGAAAGAAGCGCTTTGTGCCAAACCCGATCGAAGGCCTTCGCAATGTCCAAACTAACGGCCAATGCCTCCCCCTTGGACTCTACTGCCTCCGCCCATCTGTGAGTTAGGTAGAGCAGAAGATCACCAGCTGACCTACCACGGCGAAAACCGTATTGGCGGTCACTAATCAGCTGGTGATCCTCAAGGTACCTCATGAGCTGGCAGTTTACAATGGACTCCATTGTTTTGGAGAACAAGGAGGTGATGGCGATAGGCCGGTAGTTGGACGGGTCTGAGCGGTCGCCTTTTTTTAGGGATCGGGTGGACGAAAGCCGTCTTCCATGGGGGGAGTAGGAGTACCGGAAAAGACGCGTTAAAACCGGTGCCAACTCTGGAGCACACGTCCTCAGCGCAATTGGGGGGGATTCCGTCAGGCCCACTCGACTTATGGATGTCCAGGGAGAGGAGTGCTTTGCGAACCGTTTTCCGGCATGGAGCGCTCACACCGCGGGATGGTCGGCGGCGTACTCCCCCCGTCATCGAGAGTCGAGTTAGACGCAAAGAAAGAGCCTAGAAGATCGGCTTTCTCCTTTGCGGTGTGGGCCAGTGAGTCGTCCTCCCTGTGCAGAGATGGAAGAGATGGCTGACAGAAATTCCCCTGGACAGCCTTGGCGAGAGACCAAAATGCACGGGTTCCAGAAGGAAGACGAACTAGTCTCTCGCCAATCCTGCCTATGTGCTCTGACTTTGCCTTGGCAATGACTCTTTTGAAGGACCTAGAGGCGAAATTATACTTCTTTTTTAGAGCGCTGGTGTTTACATCCCTGGACGCTGATGCGTCAGCCCAGGCTCGGTAGCACTCCTGCTTATAGCATGATGCTATTTTACAGGAGCGACCAAACCATGGCTGAGACTTGCCTCCAATGGGCACCACAGAGGAAGGAATAAAAAGTTCCATACCCTGAAGTACCGCATCAGCGACAGAGTCCGCAACAATGTTGGGATCGTCCGGCGAAAAACAAACCCGCCCCCAAGGATAGGATGCAAAGAAAGACCGCACCCCATCCCAATCGGCTGACCTATAGTGCCAAACACGGCGGCAGCCTGCAGAATGCAACCGCGATTTCAGCGTGAGTGGCACCACACTCCGGACAAGACAATGGTCCGAGGAGCCTAAAGGGGCGTCGACGGAAATCTGATATCCGTCCGGGTGAGAGGTCAGCAGAAGGTCCAACAGGGAAGGTGCATGATCCTCCACATCTGGAATCCGCGTAGGCGAAGTAACCAGTTGTGTCAGACATATGCCAAGGCAAAATCATGAACAGATCTCCCCGCATGATCGGTTAAACGTGAACCGAGCCATTCGGCGTGATGGGCGTTAAAGTCGCCGAGGATCACGATCTCTGCGGAGGGGATCTGCTGTAGCAACGAATCTGCAGCCATTTGGACGTGGTCGAAGAGTCGGTCTGTTTCGGCATTACCGCTATGGGACCTATAGAGGCACCCGTAGACGCGCGGATGGTCGTCGCTGTCTACGCGTAGCCAAAGGATGGACAGGTCCGAACCTTCAAGTCTGCCGAGGCGTCGAGAGCAGATGTCCTCTCTGACGTAAACGCAAACTCCAGCCCGAGGCACAAAGGAGTGTTCCAGTTTGTACCCCGGGCAGGAGAGATACGAGACATCAGCCGGAGAGGACACTGCGTCTCGGTCAGAAAGAGCAGAGCCGGCCTCGCCGTCTCGAGATGGTAGTGGACGGCGTTTAGGTTAGAGTGAAGTCCCCTGATATTGCAGAAATTCACGGACAGCGTGGCAGGGGTCGCCTTGGTCTTCTTGATCCGTTTGCCCCGACAGGTGTATGTGTCTTGAGCGGAATTTCGCCCCCCCCCCCATAATACGCGGGGCGGCCTGAGCACCCACGCTCAGAAGTGGAGAAACATGGCCGTGGATGCTCAGCGAGGGATTCTCCAGAGGTGCTGGTACCCTCCTGGGGTAGTCTATCATTTAATTCCGCTACCATGTTGATGGGGGGGGGGGGGGATTTGGGCCTCCGGCCACCTGCACTCACCAGACGAAACGCGGAAGCAGAGCTTCCACTTCACGCCGGTATTCTGTGAGGTCGTGGTACCACCCCGGTTTGAGCCGGCCCATACGTGCGACAGCAAAGCTGCCGCGTGGCTCTACCACTGTTGTAGATACGACGGACGGTATTAACATCAAAGGTGAGTGATGAACTCGCCATTGATGTTAATACTGTATCCTTTCCAGTCCAGTAGCTTGAAAACGTCTTCCAATGCAGCGGTGAAGTTTCGGGGAAATAATGTCACCCTGTCATACACCTCTCTGTAGTTGGATAGTTTCGTACTCTGGTTCTGTACTCGGATAGCCATCGTAGCCCTACTGTACAAACAATTCAGCACTTCAATATACTGACAGTCAACTTGGCACCGCTGAAGAAACTGTAGCACAGCCCAAATTTCGACGATATGAAAGGCTTTCTCATAGTCCACATACGCCAGGCAAAGTGGCAGATTGTACTCTTCTAACTTCTGTACAATTTGCCGAAGGGTATGTATGTGGTCTATGGTACTGAAGCCTTTTCGGAAACCGGCTTGCTCGGGAGGCTGGAAGTCGTCGAGTCTGCGTGCGAGACGATTCGTAATGAATCGTAAACAGCACGTAGACGCGGCTCAGAAGGGATATCGGTCTGTAGTTCTTCAAGAGGGTGTTGTCACCTTTCTTGAAGAACAAGACCACTGCACTTACTGCACTGCTACACGCCTCCGGAGTAGAGCCACGATGGAGGACGGAATTAAAGAGCCTCTGAAGGACTTCAAGTACCAGTTTTCCATCCGCTTTCAGAAGCTCCGCTGTAATTCCATCCTTGCCCTGGGGACTTGCTGTTTTTAAGGTGCTGAAGAGCCATTCTAATCTCGCTCTGACTGACGTCCGGGATATCATCGATTATTATATATTATATTCCGATGATATATATATAATTATATATATTAATATTTACGTGGTAGAGCCACGCTGCAGCTATATTATATTTGTAGCATGAATGGGTCGGCTAGACCGGGGCAGGACAAGCTCTCATAGAATACCAGTGTAAAATAGCAGCATAATGCTACTGTGTTTCGTATAGTGAGTTTCGAGAACCGGAGACCAGTTTTACTGGAATTGAGGCCTTTCATCTTAGTCCTCAGGGGTAACAATGCATTTGCATTTTGATTCTTAATTGAGGATAAATGTGGATATCTATGGGTCACAGCATCCACTTACCATCAAGTAAACTGTGTGCTTGTTTGTCACCAATGCTTAAAAAAAATCAAATAAAACATAATTTGGTAAGATGTCATTATATTTATTTATAGTCATTAATTTAGGTTCAATTTATGCAAAACAAGCTTTCCAACAAGTATCCTGAAGTCTTGGAGTGGTATGTCTGGGTTTAGATTTGATTGTATTGAGTACACATTCTTATCTTAATTTCTAAAGGTAATTAAGATTAGACAAAACTAAGAATGTTTCTTTTTTTAAATTTCAATAGCTTCACTGAAGCATTAGAATCAAAATAATTCATACATCATAAGCCTACGAAATAAACAAAGATTATAATATAACTAAATGAAAAAAAAAACCACTAACCAGTACATTTTTCTTCTGTGTCACCTTCATTCTCTTGGCACGATTCCTCCTTTAACCCTTAAATGAAATGTTGCAATCAATAGCCTGCAATGAAATTGTACACAGTGGACTATAGGAATTAATATGATGTAACTCTAACCATTGCTTTAAGAAATATATTACCATCATCATGTAATTCTGTTGCCTCTTCTTTGACTGCATTTTTAAAATTGCCTGTAAATAATAAATATTTTTTGACATATTTTACTTATATCAAATATAAATGTCTAAAGCAGGCGCTCATTTATTAAAATAACAAATCTACTCTACCTTTAACTTTTTGGCTATTGTAATGTGAAGATAGGATCTGTTCACAAGTTTCCACTTGTTGCTTGAAAATTAGTGCATCACGCAAATGTGATATGCATACATCACAGATAGAATAAGAAACTGTATTTGGCTCCCCAATTGCTGGATTCACCTAGTAGAAAAAATTTGTATAAATTTTGATTAAAAATATCTATTGAATATATAATGTCACAATCACCAAAGGGACTTAGCAAAACGAGCGGAAATTTGGTGCAAAGAATATGGCTTAACCATCAATTAAAACAAAACAGTTTTACTAATGTTCATACAAAAACTAATGCTGAATAATTATCATCTGCCAAGTCTCTTCAGCACAAAACTCCAGCTATCCTCTGAGGTAAAATACTTGTCTCACTTTGGACAGTGTACTCAACTGGAATAAACACATAGAAAACAAATTCAACAAGGCTAGTATATTAGTATATTCTTTTCTTATATACTTGTATATTCTGGCAATGCAGAAACATAATTGGCAAACAATGCGGTCCCTTTGTGCCATGCAAAAAATTATATATATATTATATATATATATATATATATATATATATATATATATATATATATTACATATCGCACTCTGGTGTGGTGGATCAAAATGAATAACGCCACAACTATTAAGAAGCTTCAGCATTCACCAGAGACTGGTATGTATGGCACCCAGAGGCTGCCTAACGACTAAACTAACAGCAGCCTTGGAGGCTATGCTGGAGCTAACCCTGCTTTATCTACACATACAACAAGAAGCCACTTTAGCTGTCATTCAAGATACAAAACCCTTAATCTTTGGAGTAAGAGTAGAGTCCCACATACATGTATGATTGATAGAATTTACTAAAATATTCCTATCTTACAAGCCAAGATAAGATTCCCAAACAATTTGTGTTTGTCAAGAGATATAAGATACAATTAAATGAAAACAACCATCCAGAGTGATTAAACCCAAAAAAGCTTAGTTTTCATGGATGGTTCTAAAACAAATGAAGGTGTAGGGTCTGAAACTTTCTCGGAAGATTTATTAGCCAGGTTGAATTTCTACTTATTATTTACATAAAGACTACAGGTTTTTTTGAGAGAATTCCATTTGATTATCCAAAAGAGATGAATAATGTCATAAGTGTAAGTGTTAAAGCATTGGGGTCCCGGAATAAGATGCTTTTAAAAAGACACAACCATTAAAAATAAAGTCTACATTATGTGTAATAAATAACGTCAGATTAGTGAACTTACAACAATATCAAAAGTCCTCTGCAACATAACAGAGTAAGTTTCTTCGATACCTTCATGAGAAGCATTGAGACTTTTATAGCCGTATTGAGAATGACAACAACGACAGAGATTTTCCATATTTAACCAAATAGACATCTTTAATCATTAATAAAATTATATTTTACAAATTAATTTAATAATAAGTCTAGTAGAATTGGCAAAATAACAATTATCAACAATAATATAGTATTATGTATTATAGGCTTTGATCAATCTCACAAATTATAAAGTTGTATGTACAAGATCAGATTGTACAAGATAAGATAAGATTGTGATTTTCAGACTGGATTGTGATAACTCATAAAATTCGGTAGAATCCACAGAACACTATTGCTTCCAATTGCTTCTCTAGAGTATACACAGTAATCTATGCTATTACTCCCGGAGGTAAAATCCACTAGTAATTAGTCTGTGTTAATGGTGGTTAATATAGCGCATAGCGCCATATTATAGCCGGCTTAGCTTACATTATTCCAGTCCAGTGATCCTAGCGAGATTCCAGTCCAGTGCTGGACTGGATCTGTAACGTCTACATTATTCCAGTTATTTAGAAGCCGTTGAAGTGTGAACCGTTGAAGTGTGTTGGCCGTGTAGTGGCGGTTAAGAATATCCACTACCCCATATCTTCCCGTGAGTATCGTAAAAGGCGACAGAGGGAAACAGGCAAGAGATTGGCAGCAGCATCTTCCTGATAACAGCAACTGTACGACAAAAAAACTGCGGTTGCCAACCCGCTCACTAAGCGTGGCAACTATGGCAATATACCCCCCATGAACAATTACACAAATAGACGGCCCCCAGTCCCCGGCGGCTCCGCTATTCCTGGCTACGGTGGCGACCATGGTAACGGCGGGGCAAGGGGTGCTAAGAATCTCCGGTGGAGGTTCGGTTGCCACCTACGACGACTCGACCTGGCAATATTTAACTCACGCATCCTGAGGACTGACGAGAAGATCCTGGAGCTGGAAGAAGAGATAGACAAGTTGCGCTGGAATATTATAGGATTATCCGAGGTCCGAAGAGAGGGAGAGGACACGGTGATTCTCGAATTCCAGCAACTTGTTCTATCACCGGGAGGGCGACCATCTGTCCCAAGGAGGTGTCGGATTTATCGTCCACAAGTCTCTCGTCAACAACGTTGTAAACATTGGGAGTGTGTCAACGAGGGTCGCGTACCTGATACTCAGAACCACCAAACGGTATTCGCTGAAGGTCATACAGGTTTACGCACCAACCTCGGCACATCCCGATGAGGAGGTGGAGGACATGTATGAGGATATTTCCAAAGCCATGCATTCCTCCAAAACCCACTACACGTGTTGATAACAGACTACAACGCAAAACTAGGCACAAGAGAAAACGGTGAGCTGAAGTTAGGGAAATTTGGAGTAGGGCAACGGAACCGAAGGAGCCAGCAGCTGGCCGACTTTATGGAGAAAGAGGGACTCTTTATGATGAACTCTCTTCCAGAAGCGGCCACACAGGAACTGGACCTGGTAGAGCCCCGACGGTTCGACAAAAAATGAGATTGACTTCATTATGACGACCAGACGCCAAGTTTTCAGTGTTGTCTCAGTGATCGCAAGGGTGAAAACTGGCAGCGATCACCAAACGGTTAGAAGAGGCACACTGAACCTAAACGTTAAGTTGGAGAGGCCTCGTCTAATGAAGTCAACGCTCCGTCCCCCCTCGTGCTCTAATCCAGAATCCCGAAACCTTTCAGCTCGAGTTACGTAACCGCTTTCGGTGCCTACAATATTGCAATGCAGTGGACGATATGAATGACAAGCTCGTGGAAACTGTCCATGCGGTCGGAGCTAAGTTCTGCAAGACCCGCCGCAGAAGAACACAAAAACTCTCCAATCAGACTCTTAATCTCATGGCTGTTAGACGGGAGATGAGGCTGCAATCGTTTACAGATTTGACAGCATACAGGCAACCGAACAGACAGATCTCCAAATGCATGCGGCGAGATTTACGCAACTTTAATACTGCTCGTATTAAAGAAGCGATCGAGCGGAACCAGGGCTCCAAAGTCTTTGCCAAAGATCTGTCTGCCAGTAAGAGCCAACTGTCAAAGCTGAAGACTGAGCGTGGCAGCATCGTTTCCGGGATACCTGAGATTTTGAGTGAGATTGAGAGGTTCTATGGGCAGCTGTATACATCATCGTTGGAGCCACACGCAAGTGTGAGTAACGATCCAAGAGCAAGTCTTATCCGACACTATTCCGATGATATCCCGGACGTCAGTCTAAGCGATAATAGAATGGCTCTCCAGCACCTTAAAAACGGCAGGGCCCCAGGCGAGGATGGAATTACAGCGGAGCTTCTGAAAGCGGGTGGAACACCGGTACTTGAAGTACTTCAGAAGCTCTTCAATTCCGTTCTCCATAGTGGCACTACTCCAGAGGCGTGGAGCAGAAGTGCGGTGGTCTTGTTCTTTAAGAAAGGCGACAACGCTCTCTAGAAGAACTACAGACCGATTTCCCTTCTGAGTCGCGTCTACGTGCTGTTTTCGAGAGTCGAGAGTCGTCTCGCACGCAGACTCGACGACTTCCAGCCTCCCGAACAAACCGGTTTCCAAAAAGGCTTCAGTACCATAGACCACACACATACCCTGCGGCAGATTGTACAGAAGACCGAAGAGTACAATCTGCCACTTTGCCTGGCGTATGTGGACTATGAGAAAGCCTTTGATTCTGTCGAAATTTGGGCGGTGCTACAGTCCCTTCAGCGGTGCCAAGTTGACTGTCGGTATATCGAAGTGCTGAAGTGTTCGTACAGTAGGGCCACGATGGCTATCCGAGTACAGAACCAGAGCTCGAAACCTATCCAACTGCAGAGAGGTGTAAGACAGGGTGACATTATATCCCCGAAACTCTTCTCCGCTACATTGGAAGACGTTTTCAAACTACTGGACTGGAAAGGATACGGTATTAACATCAATAGCGAGTACATCACTCACCTTCGATTTACCGACGATTTAGTCCTTATGGCAGAATCGCTGGAGGACTCAAGCAATATGCTCAATGACCTTAATAGTGCCTCCCAATGGATAGGTCTTAAGATGAACATGGACAAAACAAAGATCATGTTTAATGTCCATGTCACACCAATGCCGGTAGTTGTTGGGAGCACTATGCTCGAAGTTGTTGACGAGTACGTTTACCTGGGCCAAATAGTCCGACTGGGTAAGTCCAACTTCGACTCTAAAATTTTTGAAATTACGACATATCTTCTCGTCATGTATACCTCAATCTCTAAAAACTAGATTGTACAACCAGTGCGTGTTGCCAGTGATGACTTACGGATCTGAGACGTGGTCCTTCACTGCTGGCCGTATGAGGACGCTCAAGGTCGCTCAGCGAGCTATGGAGAGGGCTATGCTCGGAGTTTCTCTGCGTGATAGACTCAGAAATGAGGATATCGGCAGTAACACCAGAGTGACCGCCATAGCCCAACGGATTAGTAAGCTGAAGTGGCACTGGGCCGGCCATATAGCTCGAAGAACCGATAACCGATGTTTATTTGTTATGATACACGATAGGTGTATTTCGTCAAATTTGGCAATTATATCGGAGATGGAGGACACAAGGTTTTCCTGAGATTATTATTAGGTGATAAATTAGCTTGAAGAGCATGACCGTTTGGAAGGGAAGAGGTAGGGGTTCTTACAATATTGTTGTGTGCTACATTATCATAGCCTACAAAATTTGGAACGGGTCTTGTTGGGTTAATTCTGAAAACAGTCTTTCTATAAAATTGAGAATCAGGAGGAACAGGGTACTTGATAACTGTTGAGATGAAGTAGAGAGAGAAGTTGTCCCTAAATATGAAGCTATATTTGCATAAGATCTTCTAACAGCAGATGCCTCTAGATATGAAACAACTTCTTGGGACGTGCCCAGTTTAATTTGTCTTGAATGTTCAGGGCAACTTTTATCACTTGCCAAGTGATTAGTAGAGCTGAACAGGCATGTTGGGATATCTGTAACACAATTTCTCCAGTGTACTTTGTTGAGCATTTGAAGCAGCGTGGTTTTGATCTGCACTGAGCCTTTACATGTCTAAATTGACAATACTTCAAACAATGTATAGAAGGGAGTATGTAGGCTTCGACAAGAATTGGTGAGTAGAAGCAGTATAAGTGAGAAGACAGCTCTTGGCTTGAAAATGTAAGGATAATGGTTTGGGTAGCCACCCACTGAATATCTTCACCTTTCTTTACTTTTCAATGTAATCTCCTAGCCTTTATAATTTCTCCCTTACCAGGGGGTGGTTCCAACTCACACACCAACTCCTCCATTGAATTATCGGTTGGTATACCTCTAACAACGCCCATTCTGGTAACATAGATGGTTGGAATGACTACTGATAGTTTGTATTTAGCAAGAAAAAATGATTCGATAAAGTTATTGGTATCTGAAGCAATTTCAAAAGCTGTTGAGACCCTTTTACGACCTAAATTCGTTATGCTTTGTTTTTTGATATTGGAAATCTTATTTTGGGATAGAATATTGCCGATCTGGAGAGGTCGAATTGTATAACCAGATGAAAAATCGGGTTCTATAAATAAGGTGAATTATAAAAGTCCATTTATCACTATCTGTGTATTCTTTTCTAAAAATCAGTATGAGTGTAAATATTTTAATATGGCGCTGATAGCGTATCTTCATGACTATCTTTTTTATGAATGCTTGGTGTTAAGTTTGTACATTTTCGTTTAGAGGGACCGAAACCAGACGAATTGTCTTTGTCCGGTGGTTCTGAATCTATCCCGTCGGCGTCCATCGTGTTTGTTAAGAATACATTAATTACATAACTACCGCTACTTACCAACTAATAAGTAATAAACAACACATAACGAATTTAAATAACGAAAAACACAGAAGACGCCAAAAATGTTAACATAGCTCAACAAAAATTAGTTAAAATATATCGACAAATCGTTGAAACATGTGTGACTACCAATAACTCTGGCAGCAGAATCTTGACCCTTTGCTCTTCTTAGATTACTTATTTGTTAATTGTCAGTGTGCACAGTGTACATTTGCCCTTAGTATGTTTACTCCGTACACTGACCTCTATATTATATATAGAGGCCTATATGATATATAGAGGTCAGTGACTCCATAGATAAGAGTGTATTAAGCTGAAATCTTTGTTATGTTTTCCATCTACGTCTTTGAGTGTATGATGATCTGATGAATAACCGTTTATGTAACTTACGGGCAGGAGTTTTGGCAGGAACTTGACTTCCGGCAAACTGTAGCTCCAGTATTTATCGCTTGAATAACGATTTGTAGCGGATGTTGATACTTAAAAGTGGTGCGAAAAAAAATTGATAGGTTAAGCCGACTTCGTTATTTCTAAAAAACTTCGCAACATGACTTGAGCATATTGTAAAGAACTTTGTGAACTAAACATATTATGTCAGAAAAAGCCGTATGTCGTAAGATTTTTGCCTACCGTATTTGGCTTATTACAAGAACCGTCTCTATTGATACTATTGAACTGTCAATGTCATTGTCATGTCACAGCTTACAGCGACAATTGCTTTCTACTGTCGTGTTATCGTGTAATTTAATCGATCGTAATTTTTAATTTAAATACAATTATGTAGTTCGAATTAAAAATGCCTGCGACGATTATAGAAAGTGTGCTTACGCGGAAATTAGATACTGTTTTGTTATTCAAGTGGTTGAACAATGAATCCATAGAGGTGAATGCTTACAATAGTTTTACAATTTCCTATTTGTTTTGTTTTTTTCTTGAAAATTACACTTTTTTATTTTCAGGATGCACCCGAAGATTGTATTTTATATTGTTGCAGCAAGAGCGAATTCGTCTCCTATTTTTTGACATATTTAAGGACCCAAACTGACAGGTAACCATTAGTTTATCAACAAAATAAATAACCGCGTACATGTTCACTTGGTACCCACCAACCTGGTATATAAAACTTGGTTTATTTTTGTTTCGACATATTTCTTTGTTTTTATCCTTAAATAATAATAAGGTTAATAAAACTAATTAAAAATTAAATTTTTTTCTAGTATTTTAGAATTTTTGAAAAAAAAAAGCTTATTATAAATATACGAGGGTGGATTGAAAAGTACTCGGCCTAACACAGATCCATTCAATTCTAAAAATCAAATCTACCCACGTTATTTAGTTCAGTTCAGACTAGTTCATTGTGTGAAGTTCGAAACGTGTGCGATAATTAGTTGTGATTTTATAAATTTATTAACAAAGTAATCGGACATAATTTCCGCGAATGGAGCAAATCGAGCAGCGTGCCGTCATTAAATACCTCCATAAGAAGGGGCTATCATCAAAAGCCATCCATGATGACATGGTCAGTACATTAGGCGATTGTGCTCTGTCATATTCATCCGTCAAAAAATGGATAGCAGAATTTAAGCGTGGTAGAGAGAGTGTGAAAGATGAACCCTGCTCTGGAAGGTCTTCGACGTCAACTACTGACGAAAATATTAAAAAAGTACTTGATTTAACAATGGGAGACCGCAGATTAAAAATTAGAGAGATATTGAAATAATACTAATTTTTACGGAATTTATCGCGTATATTTAACTTTTTTACCCGACGTTTGAGAGCTTTACAGCACCCATGGTCACGGGAAGGACTGAGATGTTCAACGTCCAGCTGTCATAGTTAACCGCGGTTACCATAGATTAAAATTTAACTTTTGTTCCGATCTACACAGTATGAACTTATGGTATCATGGAGTCTTGCAGTTGTATGTTTGGGTTGGGATTTAATTTTATTTATTATAGGATCCCAAGCAGATGGTAGCACCCAGCCATCTTCTCTATTGAAATTAGGATGTTTTTTGATTTCAATAGCCTCGCGAATCATCCTTGGAAGGAATCGGTGTTCTTTAGCGAGGATTTGTGGTCTATCAAATCTGATGTAGTGACGGGGCGATCCTGTACATGTTCACAGACTGCAGACCGATTCTTCACATCAGCTATATGTTCTTTGACGCGGGTTTTAATTGATCTTTTAGTTTGTCCTATGTAGGAGAGACCACATTCACAATCAAGCTTGTACACTCCTGCATCTTGCAGAGGGACGTTACACTTGACTGATGGTAAAAACTGACCAATCTTCTTCGGCGGCTTGAAGTATGTTTTGATGGAAGCGCGCTTCAAGATGTAGCCAATCTTGTCAGTGACTCCTCTAACATACGGCAGTACAGCAGGTACACGCTCGACTGTGGCCGGCTTCACTCGTTCAAAGCTTCGGGTCCCGCGCCTACGTCACAGAGTGTACCTGCTACCTGCTGTACTGCCGTATGTTAGAGGAGTCACTGACAAGATTGGCTACATCTTGAAGCGCGCTTCCATCAAAACATACTTCAAGCCGCCAAGAAGATTGGTCAGTTTTTACCATCAGTCAAGTGTAACGTCCCTCTGCAAGATGCAGGAGTGTACAAGCTTGATTGTAAATGTGGTCTCTCCTACATAGGACAAACTAAAAGATCAATTAAAACCCGCGTCAAAGAACATATAGCTGATGTGAAGAATCGACGCTCCGGGAAGTCTGCAGTCTGTGAACATGTACAGGATCGCCCCTCACTACATCAGATTTGATAGACCACAAATCCTCGCTAAAGAACACCGATTCCTTCCAAGGATGATTCGCGAGGCTATTGAAATCAAAAAAACATCCTAATTTCAATAGAGAAGATGGCTGGGTGCTACCATCTGCTTGGGATCCTATAATAAATAAAATTAAATCCCAACCCAAACATACAACTGCAAGACTCCATGATACCATAAGTTCATACTGTGTAGATCGGAACAAAAGTTAAATTTTAATCTATGGTAACCGCGGTTAACTATGACAGCTGGACGTTGAACATCTCAGTCCTTCCCGTGACCATGGGTGCTGTAAAGCTCTCGAAACGTCGGGTAAAAAGTTAAATATACGCGATAAATTCCGTAAAAATTAGTATTATTTCAATGTGTAGTGTTCGCGTAAATATAAGAAATCATTAATTAGAGAGATAGCCGAGATTATAGGCATCTCTTATGACTGACGAACTCAAAGCATCATTGTCAACGAGTTGGGTTTCCACAAGGTGTCTGCGAGGTGGGTTCCGCGACTGCTTTCAGTTGAACAAAAAAGGACGCGGTTGACTATTTCACGCGAATGTTTGGAGTTATTTGAAGCCGATGCAGATGATTTTTTGAATCATTTTGTTACTATGGACGAAACATGGGTTCATTACTGTACACCGGAAACAAAACAACAATCAAAACAGTGGAGAAGACCTAGTTCACCACCCCCTAAAAAGGCTAAGTCGATTTTGTCGGCAAATAAGGTGATGGCTTCAGTATTCTGGGACTCGAAAGGTGTGATTATGATTGATTATCTTGAAAGGGACTATAAACTCTGATTACTACTGCACCTTACTACGTCATTTACGAGAGGAAATAAAAGAAAAACGTCGAGGAATGCTCAGAAGAAAAGTTTGACTCTAAGGAAGAATCATTTTTTTTCAACGGTCTAAATGCTTGGAAGGGGAGGTGGCAAAAGTGTATTGAACTTGATGGTGATTATGTTGAAAAATAAAAATATAACTGATTTAGTATGTGTTTATTTTCTTGGTTAGGCCGAGTACTTTTCAATCCACCCTCGTAGTAAATGACATCAAATTAGAAATTCTAATCAATGTATCAGACTACATTGATATTGCATATATGCAGATATGACATAGACAACAATTTTAATTTGGTTGTAGAAATAAATAAAAATCATCATTTCATATAAATATATTCTTAATGCTGCTTCATTTATTTTTCTCTTATAGCATTACTCTTCAGTAAACTATAAAGTATTTGTATAGTATAGTGGTATTTGTTTCATTTACAGTCGTTATTCTTAAAACTATGCTAGGAAAACAGATTGTAAAATAACACAGTAGTTAAACAATCAAAATGTTAATATAATACTCACTGGACAGTGAAATGGTTAAAGACATAATTCGAATTAACACAAATATATATAACAAGTGGTAAAATTAAAAAATTGTACAACCAACTTCAAAATAAATAAAATGAGAACATCATTAATGTAGTTGAAGTCAATCAAATATAAATTATTAAGGATTACTCAAAAACTACTGGTAAAATCATGACCTTTGACCTTTGCACCCATGATCATGAATTTACAATCACCGGCACATAAACTTGGCCACTCGTGGATTTGCTGATTATTTGCACTGAAATGTTTTTTTAACAGTAAATTAAGAGCAGATGGATTCAATAAGTCATTAATATGAATGACAAGCTCGTGGAAACTGTTCATGCAGTTGGAGCTAAGTTCTGCAAGACCCGCCGCAGAAGAACCCAAAAACTCTCCGATCACACTCTCAATCTCATGGCTGTTAGAAGGGAAATAAGGTTGCAATCATCAGCAAATTTGACTGCATACAGGCAACTGAACAGACAGATCTCCAAATGCATGAGGTGAGACTTATGCAACTTTAATACTGCTTGTATTGAAGAAGCGATCGAGCTGAACCAGGGCTCCAAAGTCTTTCCCAGAGATCTGTCTGCCAGAATTGGCTCTTTCTGTCTCTGTGTGTGTGATCTGTCTGTCATAGCAGAAGACTGAGTGGCAGAAGTTTCTGGGACACCTGTGATTTTGAGTGAGATTGAGAGATTCTTTGGGTAGCTGTACACATCATTGTTGGAGCCACATGCAAGTGTGAGCAAGTCTTATTCGACGCTATTCCGATGATATCCCGGACGTCAGTCTGAGTGAAATTAGAATGGCTCTCCAGTGCCTTAAAAATGACAGGGCCCCAGGTGAGGATGGAATTACAGCGGAGCTTCTGAAAGCGGGTGGAACACCGGTACTTAAAGTCCTTCAGAAGCTCTTCAATTACGTCCTCCATGGTGGCACTACACCGGAGGCGTGGAACAGAAGTGTCTTGTTCTTTAAGAAAGGCAACAACACTCTTGAAGAACTACAGGCCGATTTCCCTTCTGAGCCGCGTCTACGTGCTGTTTTCGAGAGTCATTACGAATCGTCTCGTATGCAGATTCGACGATTTTCAGTCTCCCGAACAAGCCGGTTTCTGAAAAGGCTTCAGTACCATAGACCACATACATCCCCTGCGGCAGATTGTACAGAAGACTTAAGAGTACAATCTGCCACTTTGCCTGGCGTATGTGGACTATGAGAAAGCCTTTGATCCCGTCGAAATTTGGGCAGTGCTACAGTCCCTTCAGCGGTGTCAAGTTGACTGTTAGTATATCAAAGTGCTGAAGTGTTTGTACAGTAGGGCTACAATGGCTATCCGAGTACAGAACCAGAGTTCGAAACCTATCCAACTGCAGAGAGGTGTAAGACAAGGTGACGTTATATCCCCAAAACTCTTCACTGCTGCATTGGAAGACGTTTTCAAGCTACTGGACTGGAAACAATACGGTATTAACATCAATGGCGTGGACATCACTCTCCTTCGATTTGCCGACAATATAGTCCTTATGGCAGAATCGCAGGAGGACTCAAGTACTATGTTCAATGACCTCAATGGTGTCTCCTAACGGATAGGTCGTAAGGTGAACATGGACAAAACAAAAATCATGTCACACCTATGCCGGTAGTTGTTGGGAGCACTATGCTCGAATTTGTTGACCAGGACGTTTACCTGGGACAAATAGTCAGACTAGGTAAGTCCAACTTTGACCGAGAGGTCAATAGACGGATTCAACTCGGCTGGGCAGCGTTCGTGATATTGCGACACATCTTCTTGTCAAGGTGTACCTCAATCTCTGAAAACTGCGATTATACAACCAGTGCGTGTCGCCAGTGATGACTTACGGATCTGAGACCTCGAGAATGGTCCTT